ATATATATATGTATGTATGTATATGTTTATATATTTATGTATATGTATATATATATGTATTGTTGGTAATTCTATAAATATGTACTGCTGGTCAGTTTACTATAAATAGGTATTGTTGATCATTTTAGTACATAAACATGTATTGGAGGCAATTGTACTAGAAAATGTATTTTTATTCTTTCATAGTGCTTTGTTTCTATTGGGGGGGGGGGGTATCAGTAACCAATAGCTGGGATTCTAACAGGTGCGATAACCCCGGTTAATGGTGGACCAGAAAACAACAGCAATTAAGAGGTGGTTCTACGCTCCTCAGAACCTCCTGATCAGAGGCCTTGCTGCTAGATGTAGTTTATCGTCATACAAAGGAAGTTGTCAGTAAATCAGGAGCTCCATGGAAACTGTTGCTAACGATAAGAAAGAAACAACTAATTTTTCAGGAGCACTTAATGAGACAGGTAGCCTTGCCGAATTCGATACTCACATGACATGATGAAGGCAAAAGAAATAGAGAGAAAAATGTAAGCCCCCTCTTACTATCCGAAATACGTTTCGACTCTAAATAACCGACAATGGCTTAAATAAACAGTAAAAATCAAATTGATCTTGTCCACCTCTGAAAAACAGTATCCTCATTAAAATCTAAGTGGGTTAGAGAAGAATTTCTGCCAGAGCCTGATTAAAGAACAAACAATATTTTAGTGTTTTCTATGATGATATTCTGTGTGTGACATCTTCGACGGCATTTCTTATCTTGTTACAACTTTCTTTGATTTCAACAGGAGACACATCGCTACCTTGCCTGTTCTCGAGCAAACATTTACTAACAGTCTAGGAAATATATTATACAGAGTATGATGACTAAATTAGCAAAAATGAAAATAACACTGACATCTTATTTTAACAGGTATATTTACAAAAATTACACATTGAAAAGTTTTATCTTTAAATACTAAAGAGTAAATTTATTCAATAAAATCGATATTGGCTTCAACCCCGGCTTCCAAACGAATTCGGAATCTCCTGCCTCTTCGAGACGGCCGTCTTGTTTAAGTTGATGAATGCTGTCATAATCCTTGATTTCAATTCAACTTTGACGTTATAAGTACTTTTTTGGGGGGGTTTCTCGCTCAAATACGCCCTACACATAATAATAAAAAAGATTGCAGTCTGTGGAGTTAGGTGGCCAGGTGTAAGGGGAGAAGTAGAAGCAGAAATTGTCTGTCTCTTGCTTGTGTGGCATACTGCGGATTACTGCTGCCAGACATAATGACTTCCGGCCGCCAAACCCATGATCCACGGCAGAACTACCTTGTCAAGGCACTTGATGTAGGCCTCTGTGTTGACACTGAGACTCTCAAGTAACAAATTCAGGAGGTCTTTTCTTAGAACAATCAAAGTGAGTTTTCGAGCTTCCGTACCTACGTAATCACCGTTAGACTCATCCAACTCGTTTCGAATCCTCTGCACCTTCCTTGAAACTCTGAAATATTCGTATTGGAGATTCCAGTGCTAATGTTAAGCAGTAGAGTATATCGTTTCAAAATTTCTCGCAGAGTGAGTTGCGTCACGGTGCACTTTTTTTCTTCTTTTTTTTTTTATCACAGACGGTAACCAACTGACGCTACTATACTGCGCAGTCAACAAAAATCCTAAACAAACAAAGCACATGCAATAAATTAAAATTTACCCTTCGCCCCTTATATATGTCAGGATGAACCTAATTCCTGTATTGCTTTTGCTGAGCGACGACAGCACTTTCACCTGTTTCCAATTCACCGAAGAAAGTACGTCACTAGACCAATGATAATTAATGCTGTCTAAACTTTTAAATATACTTTACTGGACAGTGTTGAAAAGTTATTAAAATCGATTCCAACACTTGGCTTTGGATAACGATCTCACCTCAGTATCTAAAAGGAGACAATCAAATTCGTCATTTTTATTGCTGAGATGTCGAAATATTCGGGAATTAATGGGAAGACATTTTATTTTATCTACTTCTGTCATAACATTACCAAGCGAATTATGAAACCGATCACTCAAGTTTCTTGCATAGATGTTGCGTAGAGATTTCTTTAAAAATGTAAGAAAGCCTCTGTACCGTCCGAAATCTTTTTGATAATTCCACTTGGGAAAGGATGATGTACTATTGTACGAATGGCCTCTTCTGTAGCTGGCAAAATGAGTAGTGTTTCATTGTATGAGGTTTCGCTAATCTGGCAATCATGCTGGGGATATTGTATGATCAAGCAAGTCTATCGTCGCATTTCTGTGATTGGTTTGTCATAAGGGAGTGAATAGATTCTCTGTTGCGATGTTTGTCTCGTTTGTTTATCAGGGTGTATCTTGTTCAAATGATCGGAAAACCTGGATGGCTTCATGGTCACATTCGAAAAAAAAAAGCTTTCGTGCAAAGAAGATATATTGTTTGTTATTCATTATTCGCAGAAGTAATAATAAAGACGTCAAATATTAAAATCTATACTGTCCGCATTTTCGCTGTAATGTGTCTCTGACATGATCATGGGTGAACTCAAGCACTGAAAATAAAATGCAGTAAAAACAAAAGAATTGTGAATAATGCCAACAACTAATCTTTTTTTTCATAAAAAAATCTTCAATTCGATTGAACTACAAAAAAATGTCTGGCGCCAATCCGATGTTGTAAGAATGACACATGAAGGGATTGGACCTTACTTATCCTAAAACGGTTCCCTGGTAATTAAGGGTTTCAAAGGGAAGATAAAACAAAAGGTAATAAATTAAGTGTAGCAAAACAGACAATATATCATCAACACCAATAATGAATACCTTTTGAAAAAAAAAAATTGATAAATGTCCCCAGCCCCGAGTATGTTCACAAATGAAATAAACACTCCCAGGGTCCTTTTTTAACTTAACAGAACCAAGAAGCGGTTAGTAGCGCTAACGGTTCTCTACTTGCAGTAACGTGTGCCGTTTCTGTGTTAAGCACACCTGCCAACCGGGAAAGGAATCGACCGACTTTGCCTGAAAATACGAAATGAATGGTTATGAAAAGTAAAACACCTTTCTATACAAGAGTTTCAAACCTTTATACAGGTTGTAACAAAAATACCACCGAAATATACTTTTCGGAAATACATCCCACATAATAGTAAGAGATTAGCTAGATGAAGATATCATTGACACTAAAGCCATACCATTATGTGAGAAGAATTTTTTAGAGGTGTGTAGTATTTATTCAGCATCGTGTATAACATATAGAAATATTAACATTTACTGATGTCAATGACTACTGTCGGTTTAAAATTTACTTTATTTTATTAAATATGAATAAGGAATATAGCGAATGTGTTAGTGATGATCTATACGGATGGCCTAGGTATTCATAATTGTTATGAGGATCTTGAACAAAAAATCCTCTAACAAGTGTTCCAAGAAATAGGACTGTTGATAAACATTTCAAAAACAGAAACAATAATCTGGATTCAGAATGAGAGCAACAATGGCACCTGACCTTAATCCAAAATTAAAAAATCAAGATGGGGAATTAATAATTACTAAAACACTTCAAATACATTGGTTTTAATATATTTAGTACAGGTGATAAGAAAACTGAACATTGAATAGGCATAGTTTTTCTTAATATGGTAAATCACTACAAATTCAAAACACTAACTTGAAAATTCGAGCTATGTACTTAGATAGCGTCGTCAGATCGAGATTTTTAAATGGAAACCATGAATAGTGCAAGACACGTTCAGAAATATCTAAACTGTCAGCCGTATTCAGCGGCTTTTTAAGATCAATGATAAAAAATGGGTTCGAACGAATGATGCTTGTAAGTTTTAACGAGAACAATCCTTACTCGAACCTCATGGAGTGGCGCTACGGAATCCCAAACTAAGAACTGTACCAAATAAAGGAAGCCACGTTACCTGAGGACTTATAACAGTAGTGACAACTAAAATGGTTAGAGTATGTAAGTCGAAGCGAAGATATTGTTAGTTGGTGGTTTTCGTTTAGCGGCATATCAAACTCTATTGGTTATTAATGCCGAAATCTTAATATGTTCTGCACAATTGAATTTCATTTTTATTTTTGAGAATAGAATTATTTCAGTGATAAAATTCTTACTAGAAGAGGTAATTCATGTCTTTCCTAAGAATATTTGCGCAAAATTTATTATAACGATCCCAAACGGAATTGGAACTAGGCCCTTCGATTAACAATTCTGAAACATTACCCATTACACCATCGGCACATCCAAACTTACAGCACAAGTGCTGTACGTTTGGATGTTACTCATATACCCATCTAGGTAATAACCAGACTCGACATTGCTTAACTTAGGGGATCTTATGGAAACCGGTATAGAAGCAGTGAATAGAGTAAACCCAAAACTCTTTTGTTTACTTCCAGTTAGAAACACTATGGCAATTAACCCACCTAGAAAACTTGTAGTAATTACCTAATTATTTCATTATTTATTTATTTCCCATTGCCGCAGATAAGTAATGGACCATAACAGAAACATTTTTTTGGTTTTAGTGAAAGAAAGAAAGAAAGAAAGAAAGAAAGAAAGAATAAATAAAGAAAGAGAGAAAAATAAAGAAATAAAGAAAGAAAGGAAGAAAAAAGAAAGAAAGAAAGAAAGAAAGAAAGAAAGAAAGAAAGAAAGAAAGAGTGGTGGATAACGTTACCGTGTGTATAACGCCGGGTTTAGTGAAGTGGATTCGTAGGTTGCTTATTTTTTTTAGCGGATATCAACACTTATATGGGTTACTTAATGCCGAAATCTAAATATTTTGTACGCAATTTTGTTTTGTTTTTTTTCTTAGATGATAGATAATGGTTTTAGTGATAAAAGTCTTACTAATTAATACATAGATGGAAGGAAATGGCATAGATTCCTACCTTTCTCAATAGTTTTGCGTATAGGTGAATATATCGAACCTAACGGAAATAGGGAACTCGGCTCTCAGTGCCATAATCTTCATACCACCGCGCATCCAAGCTTACACTACCTGGTATTCCCAAGCAGTCAAGGTACTAACCAGACTCAACGTTGCTTAACTTCGGTGATCGTACAGAAACCGGTGTTTCAGTGATATGGCCCTAAGCGTCCAGTAGATATTTACATAATCAAAAGATTAGGAAGGAGACCTCCATCACTCCTGGAAAGATCAATAACAATTACTCGAATTGAACAGCTTATTTTACTTAAAAAATTTTTGAAGAAAAATATTTTATAAATTTCAATCGACAGTCGAATTGTTTGCTCGGTCAATGAATGCTGAATGTTTCCTTATAATGAAGTGGCTAATATTAATTTTATTCTATAAATGGCGAATTGCACCGCAAACGAATGATTTTCTTTCTCGCGGGCGATATATTTGATATAAATTATCATTGAAGAAAATCTACGAATACAATGATGCAGTTAATTTGATTTGGAAAAAAAAGTTTATTTGTACGTTTTAACCTGAAAATATATTTGTCTTCCTTGCTGAATATTTTTCATTGAATAAAAAAAGTCAAATACTCCATCTTTCTAAATAAACTATTATCTTCAACCTATTTGAAATTAGAAATATTTTATCTATGCGTAAAAAGAAATCGCTTTCTTTTTTATTTTCTTTAATGAGATCGGAATTTTATTAAATGTAAAAATGGGATTCGAAATGAGTCTATCATTCAGTAAAACAAAAAAAATACGAAATAATTGATACTGTTTTTTTTTCAGTTATCCAAATTTCTTATATGGAATTTAAAATCTTTATATATATATATATATATATATATATATATATATATATATATATATATATATATATATATATATTTATTTATATATATATATATATATATATATATATATTTATATACACACACACATATATATATATATATATATATATATATATATATATATATATATATATATAAACTTTTCCAACAGCATATATTTTATTACGCCGTGTAGTATATAGTACCGATAAATCGGAGACCTGATTTCGAATTCCAGTCGGTTCCGTTGCTTTTACTTACGCGCAAACAAACTTCTCCTCCCAGGTATGGGTTAAATAGCATAACAAACTGGGTTCTATAGCTTTGGTTGGTAACCGGTTGAAATGACAAAATGCTGCATGAAACCTCTGTCTAGACAGTCATAAATCGAAAGAGACTTGCTCGCCCAAGCGTACATCAGTTATAGTACTTATAACATATCACAGCAATATATTGTCGGAATCTTTCAAATTAAAATCCGAATCTTAGATCTGATTTTTACTTTATGATACCTCGTTTTTTATACAAACAAGCGGGAGACATTTATCTTTTTTTTCTATATGCCGTATCGCTTTGAGACTTCGGTGAACGTTACTTTAGAAAACTTCCTAACCTTTGTAGCTCCTACCAAAATTTGACTTATCGATATATCTTCTAATCTCTGTTCTTCCAACTCAATCTTTTTAAACAGCATCCTCGCTGATTTCCTCTGCCCCTTCTGTATTAAATACATCCTGCGACTGTCTTATTCTACAGACTTACCTCATTGTGCCCTAGAAATTTAAACTGTATCTTGATTCTAAGTATAAGCTTTCTGTTTGTTTTTATTTTTTTTCTAAAGCTCTTGCTCACACATTCAATCCATGCTATTCTCATCATCCTCTGTTAGACCACATTTCTGTTGCCTCAAGTCTCTTCCACATCTGTAATGAGACTGAGCTACATTCCTTGCCATATATGAGAAGCGATATTACATAACGGTCCAAAAGTCTTTTACTTGTTTCTAACGGAAATTTCCTATTCCTTAAAATTTGCTTAACATTTGAAACGCAACTATTGCTATCCGAATGCGCCTTTTGATTGTGGTCACGTTTTCCTCTGTTAAAACAATTCCTATATATATATATATATATATATATATACTAGCAGCATGGCCCGGCGTTGCCGGTGCTTGATTCAAAAATCGTACGACTCATACAGAAATCCCTATCACTTGACTTAAAATATTTTTGCCCTTCTTTGCCTTTAAAGGAGTGCCCTTGCCGTGCTGATGTTGCTACATGCCTTACTTCTTGCCTATCTCACAATGAAATTTTTTTTTCAGAATCAACGTTGAGTTTAATCAAGGGAATGAGCCAATTGGAGTAAAGTGCCATGCAGATTTAAATTTTTCCCACTTGTGACGAATGTAGCTATCGATTTTATGCATGCTAGCATGCTAGTTAACATTCGTGTTAGTCAGCTGTTGTCTACACGCTGGCCAATAGAATCTTCCTGTCTATTCGTGGCAGCCAGCTATTGGCTCTCACTTTGGCCAGTAGAAAATGGCCGCAAACTACATGAAAACTGTCGTAGAAGCATGAAAAAATCGATTATTTCCACTATCGATGGGAGTTGGGAAAGGCAAAGTCGGTCTTGGCCTTCTCGCTAACTTGGAGCATGTGCATGTAAATGTTGGTGCAAATCCGTCGAAAATTGCGGCCGTGCATTCGTTACACACACACACACACACACACACACACACACACACACACACACACACACACATATATTATATATATATATATATATATATATATATATATATATATATATATAATCTGATAAATATAAATGTAAGTAATTATACTCATCTGTAAAAACCTCAGGTGTTTTGGCTTGTAAAAGAACAAGCCAATACTCAAGGAAAATAAGGAAAAATAAAGTAAGAACTCCGAACATGCAATTCAGGCAAAAACAATCGTCCAGAATCCAAGATCAGAGTTAAAAAAAAAAAACATCCAACACGATTAAAGCAAAAATAACTCAGCAACGTGCTCAATACACTAAGTAGAGCAAATCTAACTATGGACCTGGCTCTTTATATTCATAATTTATATATATATATATCCATTCATACATACTATTCCGACTATTGTCCTCATCTTTGTTGCCATATTTATCACAACGTTTCGGGCGTTGTACGCTCCGGCTTTCTTCAGCTGGTTGGAATGTCGAACTGAACCCTTTATTTTGCTCGCTGGGGTATACTGTTTTTGTTCCACGTTCCATGTCGAATGGATGTCAGTTATCAGTTATCTCTTGTTAATTCATCTCCCCAAGTTCTCCGCTGCCTTAACCAGGTATTGAGCACACAACACTTTGGGTCCTGTCACTGGATCTAACCAACGCCTTTATCTACTGTGCCATGTGTCCTTAACTAACGGATAGCGAGGCATTTGCTGACTTCCGAATCGTTGGATCACTCGGGGATCTCATCTACCCATTCCACAAGGAATCAGACTTCACACGGAATAGGGCTAACAATCTCGAAGGTTTGGACTACCCTCGTCTAGTTTACTGCTGTTTGGCCACTTTTGCAAGCAAATATCTATTGGGAGTCAGAGGCGGTATTTAGGTACCGGGTGGTGAAAGAACGCGAAAGAATTACTGCACCACCGTCGTAAGTACTTTTGACACTGGACGCCGGAGCAAAAGGATGGTCACCGAGTATATCATTTAACACTCTTGTGATAAAATATGTTTAAATGATAAGTACTATAAAGTTATTAATTATTTAAAATGAATATAATAAAAAATAATCGACAAATACACCCTCATGCAAATTAATTGAAACAAAACGAATAATTGCGTTATTATTTACTTTTTTCGTATTTTTGCAATGAACCGTGACCAAGTGAACATGTTAGTACTTCGTATGTTCATTCCACGAAGTAGTTCCTTACAGAATGGCCACAGATTCTCGATTGGATTTAAAGCAGGACAGTTTCCGGGCCAGTCTATAGTACTTTGATTTGCTCACTGGTAAGGCTCGCCAGTGTGTTTGTGCAGCGTTACAATTTTCGTACACTTCCTTGGAGTTACGTTCATCGCAGACAATAGACGTAGGACAACTAATCGACAGTCTAGACAATAATATCCTGGCATGATAAAAATCTGATGCAATCATGGATGACGGAATATTTTCAAGGCGAAACAAATTTCATCATACACCCCCCAAAATAGATGCATGTTACTGAACACCACTGCAAATGACCTAATCTCAGGAAAAATAGAAATTTATTAAACATTGTCACTCCAGGGGGTCTAAAATTGACCGTATGGTGAAAGCAAGAAAACTAAAGCGGTTGCTTCGATTAATTTGCACAAGGGTGTATATACGTATAAACCGTGTGTTAAATTATTGATAATTCTAAAAATATTTAAATGTTCAACAATAGAAAATACACAAAAAAATGAAATAAATTTTATGATTCGAAACACCTGTTTTACGAAGAAACGTTCACTTTACAAAAGCTCAGATATTTGTACCAGTATATACATAAATTAGAAAATATATAAAATCTTCGTAAAAAAATTAATATGAATACATGATAATTCGTAATCTTATATCTATATTTCTCAAAATGTGTGTGTGCATGTATGTGTGTCTGTGTGTGTGTGTGTGAGAGAGAGAGAGAGAGAGAGAGAGATCGGATTTTGTTTATGCATTTCCACAGTTTTCATCAGATTTCGATGATTTTATTTGTTTGATAGATAATTCTTCAGTGCCAGTTTTGGGTCCAAATTTTTAGCGACAATGGCTCTCCACGACTTTCTATCTATTATAACTCTCAGCAACGTTTTACTATTTATTCTGTTCTTGGATATATATCTTTCAAAAAACTTTAATAAAAATAAAGAGTTTAAGTTATTACAATAATATTACTTATTATTATATAGTTGCCTTTTCAGGGCCACACCCTATTCAAAATATTACCTCCCCCTATTTGGGCGATGTGCCTCAGTTGTTATTAATATTGGTTTTCGGGTGGGCTGACTTTAAACTTAAACTGCTAAAATTCAACGGCAAAAATTCCTAGTAATGAAAGACCCGGTCTTAGATGGGTAATGCTGCTAGTGATATATAAAATATAAGAATAAGCTCAACACATGATAATTTTTAAACGACAATCAATATATAACCATCTTACTTATTATAAAACGCAGATTGTGTGTGTCTGTCTGTACGTTTATATATTGGATCGGATTTCCTACATTTTTCAACCGATTTCAACAAAACTTCCCAGGACTACGTAAAATTACCTTGCGGTGGTTCTGACAGCGCCA